GATGAATAAAGCTGATAGAAACATCTGTCTGCAAGTTTTTGTATGGACTTATGTTTTTTGTTTTTCTCCTGGACTTATGTTTTATTTACCTTTGGTAAATAACAAGGGGTGTGGTTGCTGGATTGTTTGGCAGAGTATGACTGGAGTGGTAAGAGACTACCTGTCTTCCAAAGTCACCGCACCATTTTGCATTCCCACTAGCGCCAGCTGGGAGGTCCCGTTGCTCCACATCCTCCCGAGCACTGGGTGGTGTCAGTGTTCTGGAAACCCCGGGCTTCCTCACAGGTGTACAGTGGCATCTCATTGCTTACATCTGCATTTCCCCAATTGCATGTGATGTGGAACATCCCTTTTTTTTTTTTAAGATTTATTTATTTATTTATACATACAAGAGCTGGGGTGTAGGCCAGAGGTGGCGGGGTGTGTGTGTGTGTGTGTGTGTGTGTGTGTGAGAGAGAGAGAGAGAGAGAGAGAGAGGATTCACTAGAGACAGAGCAGGGAGCAGAACAGGCAGATGACCAAATCCACTGCCGAGGGGAGCAGCGGGGAGACAGGAGAGGTCTGCTGCGCCATGTGGGTTGCTCTCGTGCTGCAGAGGCTGCGGATTGCTTCACGGTGCGGTGCTTAACCCCTTAGGATTTTTAAATAATTTTTTTATAGCTGCACGCTTGTTTAGCTGGGGACAGGGTGTACTGAGCTCCCCTCTCTGCCAGAAATTGATTTTAAGGTTTAAAACCTCTCTGGTTCCCCTGGTTAATGTCTTCTTGTCACTTCTTATTTATTACATTTGTGCTTGCTCCCTTTTTTCTTGAACTAGTTGGCTAGTCATTTATCTGTTTGTTTATTTTCCCAAAATTTCAGGTTGAATTTCTGTTTTCTACATCAATTTCTGCTTTTTTTTTTTAAAAAGCAGGCTACCTCTTTTTTTTTTTTTTTTTTAATAGAGGCATGTTTTATTTATTTATTTATTTGTTTGTACATGCACTGGGTACAGTCAGAAGCACGGGAGGGTGAGAGAATTCACCAGAGCCAGAGCAGGGAGCAGAGCAGGCAGAAGGACCGAAGTACACTGCTGAGGGGAGCAGCGGGCGGCAGGAGAGGTCTGCGCGCCATGCGGGACCCTCCCCAGTGGCCAGGGAGCAGCCAGGAATCGAACGGGCACCGCAGAGGTCACCGGCAGCTTCGCAACCCAGCGCTCAACCGCTGCGCCACCAGGGAGGCCCCAATTTCTGCTTTTATCTTTATTCCTTTCCTTCTTGTGCTTTCTTTTCCTTTACTTTGTCCTTCTAATTTTCTTTGAGCTGCATATCGAATTCGCTGATTCTTGTTCTTTTACCTTTATTGATAGAAGTGCTTTGTGCTATGAATTTTCTTCCCATGATTGCTTTAAGTGTCTCCTCTAGAGTCTGCTATGCGGTATTTTCATTATCATTACTTTTTAGAAATTTTGTATTCATTTGTTTTCACTTCATTTTTTGGGTCTCTATAATAATTTCTCATTTTATGTATTCAGAGAATATTGTTTATAATATTTCTATATGATTGAACTCACTGGTGATTTCCTTGTGACCTAATATAGGATGGATATTTGTGGAAATTTTGCTTCTTTGGGTTCATGATTTTTGGGGGGTCCTCAGTTGATGTGTGTGGATATTATTCTTCGATTAAAAAAATAAAAGACTAGCTCCGTGTAGCTTCTTCTTGTTCATTTTCGTGGAATTGGGGTGTCGTACAAGATTCCTAGTTTAACAGCATGCTCAGGTCAGCGTAGCAAAGCCCGGACACTTGCACGGATTTTTGTCTGGTTGGCGGAGTTTGTGTCCTCTGATTTTTTGGTTGTTGCTCTTTTGTCTTGGAAGACTGGTTTTTTTTGTTTTCTTCCCCTTCATCACTCAGTTGCCCGGGACCACCTCGCTCATTCTGACCTCCCTCGCGTGCCCTGGGATGAGGAAGGCTGACCCTCCAGGTCGCACACACGGCTCTGCGGCCTGAACGCTGGTCCCCGGGGTGCTGTCCGCGTGTCCTGACCGCTGAAGGGCGTAGCTTCGGCGGGGTGGGGGATGTCTGGGTCCCCCGCAAGACCACCTGCCCCGCCGCCCCTGCCCTCCTCTCAGCAGGTTCTCCCCAAAGGTGCGCGGAGCGCGAGGTGCGAGGTGCGCACTGGCTTCAGGTGCGTTTTCTTTTTATTTACAGTTATGCTGATGCTGATGCAAGGGCGTTATCTCCTTGAGTTTTGCCGAGGGAGTGGCTTTGGCAGTTTCATTTCCCATTCTTGTTCTGACTTGTTTTGGGAGGCCACACGGGGCGACGGGGATGCACCCTCCGTGGTCTTCTAGGATGTCCCTCAGCGCATCTTTTTTGTTTGTTTGTTAAACATTTTATTTATGCATACAAGAGCTGGGGTGCAGGCCAGAGGTGGGGGTGTGTTTGTGAGAAGATTCCCCAGAGACAGAGTGGGGAGCAGAACAGGCAGAGCTACTGAAACACACTGCTGAGGGGAGCAGAGGGTGAGACAGGCGAGGTCTGCCGTGCCAATGTGGGTAGCTCCCTGGCCTGGTGGGTAAAGTGTGCACATACCCCCAGGTATGACTCAGTGCTCCTGAAATTATGTTTTGTAAACAAGGTAAATAAGGAAAAATTGATTTATAAGTAAACAAGTTTATTGATTATTTCAGCTCTCCAGGGGGCCAAGAGCTGGGGAAGTTGAGGAGTCGAGGTAGGGGACCATGCCACCTTTATCCAGGGAGGAGGCAGTGGGCAGAAGAGGGGGGTATGGATTATGGATATATTTTTGCCCTAGAACCTACAAGATTTAGTGAGGAAATGGATGCTGGGGGTGAGGAAAGGGTAGTAATACACCCAGATACTCGTCCAGGAGAGTGAAGAGGCAGCACGATGAAATCTCACCCCAACGTAGACTACTGTGTGCTGCTATTTACATGAAATTTTAAAACAGTCAAAACTAACTGATAATGGTAGAAGCTAGAATAACAGTAAACCCTGGAGGGGGGAAACTGGGCGCTGGGAAGGGGCATGATGGGACCACAGGTATGTGCTGGCCCTGACCGGCCCTGGTTACATGGGTGTCTTCTAAAAATTCATGAGCTACTTGTTTCTGATCTGTGCATTCTTCTCTGTGGCCGCTGTGCTGCAATCAAGAGTTTACTTAAAAACAATGGCTCCCAGGTTTTTTTAAAGATTTATTTATTTATGCATACAAGAACTGGGGTACAGGCCAGAAGTGCAGGGGTGAGAGGATTCACCAGAGACAGAGTGGGGAGCAGAACAGGCAGACTGACTGAAATACACTGCTGAGGGGAGCAGTGGGGAGACAGGAGAGGTCTGCTGCGCCATGTGGGTAGCTCCCTGGCTGGGCAGGGATCCAACTTGTGCTGCAGAAGCTGCAGATAGCTTCATAGTCCTGAGCTTAACCCCTTGTGCCACCAAGGAGACCCCCAGTTTTTTAATTGTTACTATTTTAAAGCAACTATTGGCCAGTAGATAGGGAAACTGAGGAAGGGGCAGGCTTGTAGGGGCAGCTGATGAGTTGTTTTCTCCACATGGAGAAAACACATGGAGATGTCCGAGGGGCAGCCAGGGGGTGCAGAGGAACTTGGAGGAGCGTGAGGGTGGAGGACCTTAGGAGCCTCTGGAAGGATTTTAGTCCAGTGGGCTAGAGGAGGCAAATCTTGGAGCAAATCTGGGAGCATGTGCAGAGGAAAGGGGTCCCGAAGTAGGCCTTACGCTTGGCTGCCCTCCACCTACTGAACCGTCATTCTGTGGCAACTCCCTGGCCTTGCTCACTCTGGGCTCGTCTCCTCCGTCTCCCCCAGGTGGAGACCTGTGAAGCCCGGCGTCCAGAGAGGAAAAGATGAGCCAGAATTTAGAAGAAAATATTTGCAAATCACATACCCAACACATGCTTGCATCTAAAATAAGTATTATGGGGCCTCCCTGGTGGTGCAAGGGGTTCATCACAGCACTGTGAAGCTGTCCTCAGCCAGGAGCTACCCACACGGTGCAGCAGACCTCTCCTGGCTCCCCCGCTGCTCCCCTCAGCAGTGGATTTCACTAGATCTGCCTGTTCTGCTCCCCGCTCTGTCTCTGGTGAATCCTCTCACCCCCGCTCCTCTGGCCTATACCCTAGTTCTTGTATGCATAAATAAATACATCTCAAAAAAATAAAATAAGTATTCTGAGTTCTCTAAACTCTAAATAGTCCAATTAACAAATGGGCAAGAGACCTGGACACTACAAAGAAGACACATGGATGCAAAACGAACGAGGGCAGCTGTACCACAAAATTAGAACAAACGTGGGGCTTAAGGGGAAGCTATTATCTCTCACAGTTGGGGTGGGGGGCGTGAGGTGACCCAGGCACCGACTGTAGAGAGTAAATGAGCCAGTGAAGGCACAAAGTTCTGCGGGGCAGAAGCTCAGTGGTTCCAGGCAAAGGTAGCTGCTCCCGCCTTGAGCCGCTGGCCAGGCTCCACCGGCCCCCGACGGCTCTAGGGAAGGGGAAGTCTCCCACCCGGACAATCTCATCTGGAGCCCCCGGGTTTCAGGATTCGTGGATCTCAAGCAAACACAGACACACCCTGCGGCCCTTCCTCTGCGAGGCAGAATCGGTGGATTTCATGGCTGACCCATCGAGCACCGCCCAGGCCTCATTTTAGGGTCCACACCTGGGCTCTGCATTTGCAAAGAGGGGGATGGGACCTCTGCCACCTTCCAGGCCCGGGGATCCAGCTGGCCTGCCTTCACCCCTCTTGTAGGTGATGAGCCACTGGGAGGCTCTTACCTTGGGGAGCCGCAGCTGGGAGGCAGGTGGCTGACTGGGACTGGGTCGCTGGTCCGTATGGGTGGGTATAGGTGGGTATAGGTGATGACCAAGGCCTCGCCCCGGAAGGGGCCTGATTGGTGGAGGCTCAGGGTGGGCTGGGGCCAGCGGGACTATATAAATACCCTCACCTGGGGCTGGAGTCATGCTGTGGTGATCCCTGAGCTCGGTAAGGTGCGCCTGTTGATGGGCGCTTAGGTGCAGGTCTCCAGGTTGACTGAGGGGTGGTGGGCATCTTTTTCTCTCTGTAGTTTGAAATGTTTGAGAGAGCCCCACTCGCTTTGCTCTAAACTCCAGCACTTGCCTGCTGACGAAGGTCCCTCTCCCCGGCCTCAGTTTCCCCTCTGTAAAGTAAGGGGTTGGCAGTCCCTTCAAGTCCGCAGCACTGGTCCCGGGTATAGGGCAGTTGTGGGTAGCGGGACAAGAGGCGTAGTTAAACTTTGGCCTTCGGGGTCAGACAGGCCCCACGACTCAGGCCGCGGTGCCGGCTGCTCCAGCCTGGGTGTTTGTGAAACGGGCCTTCCGGCATGCCTGCCTGCCTCGCCTTAGCACTGCTCCAGGGACTTAGGAGCCCTCGCCGGTGCCTGTTGCTGCTGTTCTTACAGCCCTCTGGCCTGACCTGGGGTACCAGGAGGGTTCGGGTGCTGTAGCTTACAGGAATTCTGCCTTTCTGGCCTCCCCATCCCACATGCACCCCAGTTTCCACCTATTCTGAACCCCCAAGTCTCCACGTCCATCCCTCCACCTTCTGGAAGTCCCCTATCAGAAGAGCCTCACCAACCCCTTTGACTTGTGGGCGCCTGGGGGTGGGTGCTAAGTCGTGGGGCTGCTCTCTCTGCAGGTCATCTTGCCCCACCCCACCCTACCCACCTCCACACCATGTGAGATGAGTGACACTCCAGACTCTGCCACGGTCCGCGTGGTGGCCCCCCCGGTGAAGCTGGCGGCCTGGAGTCTGGGTGCGGGCAGTGAGTATCCCCATTCCCAGCGGCACTGGGAGCTCCAGGTGTTCCTCGGTCTTCTCGGTGAGTCCACTTAGGGGACTGGCCTGTGGGGACTGAGAGTGAAACAGATGTGAAAGGTGGGGTCCATGCAAGTCTGAGGTCTCTGTCGCTTCCCAGGCGATCCCATTTGGGCAGGTGTGTGTGTGTGTGTGTGTGTGTGTGTTTTGGGGGGATATTGTGTGCCGGCCTTCGGAAGGTTCGATGCCACTCACCTTGGGGGGTGGTAACACCAAGCTCTCATTTCTCCTGTCCATCCCCAGAACACAGTTTCCTACAGGAATTCCTCTCCAAAGATCCCTGTTTCCAGATTTCTGATAAGGTGAGGGGTCCGCTAGGGAGGAAGATTGAATCAGCTGTGCTCAAGCTCTGCCGATTCACTGTATCCTCTGATCTGGAGGAAGGCGCACCCCCTTTGCAGGCCACCCCCCAATCATTCTGCTCTGTTTTTTCTACCCCCACCAGAGCTTCTTGGGTGTGAACGGACCTGGCACGGCTCTCCCCTGCACAGCCTGACTAACCTCTCTGGTTCTGCCCCTGCAGTATCTCCTCGCCATGGTGCTGGTCTACTTCCGGCGCGCCCACCTGGAGCTCAGCGAGTACACCCTCAGCAACCTGTTCTTGGCACTGTAAGTGGTGGGGCGGGTGGTGGGGGCCCGGCGGCTGCTGCCCGACAGCCAGGGTAGATGCTTGTGGCCTCTGTCCCCTGCCCCCCCCCCCCCCGTGGCCAGGTACCTTGCAAACGACATGGAGGAAGACCTTGAAGACCCCAAATGTGTGATTTTTCCATGGGCCCTGGGCAAGGATTGGCGGCAGCGGATGACAGACTTCCTGCACCAGAGGGACAAGCTGTGGGCACGGATGGGCTTCCGGGCCGTGGTGAGCCAGCAGAGTTGTGAGGAGGTGAGGCCCAGGGGCATCCTGGGATAGGGAAGGCTGGACCTCCCACCCTCACTTACCAGCCACTCTACTCTTGCCAGGTCATGGCCAAGGAGCCATCCCACTGGGCCTGGACCAGGGAGCGACGCCCCCACCACGGCGGGGCTCAGAGGGGCTGCCCACAGGTCCGGGTCCCCCTCCCCCGGGGCCCTAGCCTCTCTCCACCCCACTGCTCCCTCTGTGGCTTGTCCCCTTGCCACAGCCGCTTGCCTGTCTTATCCAAGTGCCCTTCTCCAGACCCCAAGTGGCATCACCCTCCCTCCCAAGTGTGCCTCCCAGTGGCTGAAGATCCCTGGGGTGGGGGCTTCCTCCTCGTCCTGCCCCCTGAGCTGCACCTGGAACCAGGCGTCTACACCCTGCACAGTGAGTTAGAGACAGGAGCTGGGAGGTGGGCTTGGGACCTGGAGGCAGGGGTGCCATCTACTGAACGGGGCGGGGGGATGTTGGGCCTGGGGTCCGGCAGGCCTGGCCCAGCGCAGCTCTGCTTCCTTAGCTGTGTGAGCTTGGAAGTTTCCCCTCTGAGCCTCCGTCTGCCCTCCCCTCCCAGTCCTCCCGAAGCCTCCACCTCGCCCCAGGCACTGACGCTGGCAGGGTGAGGAGCTGCCCGCCTGCTTGCCTGCTGGCCCGGCGCTCTGCTGGCTGGGACGCCCGTGGCCCCAAGTCTTATCGGCCTCTGGCTGGCAGCGCTGCCCACTGCCCCCTCCTCCAAACCTGCAACTTGTACCCCCTCTGACCTCCACAACCTCCAATAAATTCGTGCCGCAGGACTGTGCGTAGGCCCTGGCCTGGCTCCTTGACCCGGGGCAGAGGTGGGGAGATGGGGGCAGAGGAGCCTGCCAAGTTTAGGTGCCTGTTGAGCACAGATTGTGGCCACTTGCCCTGAGCCTCAGTTTCTCCTCTGAAGTCTCACCGATGGGCGATGAGATCGACACCATGTAGCCGGGACGAAGGGAGATGGAGGACATTAGAAGCCAAGGCAAGAACCACAAAGTACTTTTATTTTAATTTCTTTTAGATACATAATATATTCACATGTACTGTTTTGAATTTTGATTCGGTGCTTCCTACCCCTGACTCCCAGCCATCTGTTCTCTCTGGAAGCAACAGAAGTACATTGTGCACCAGCTAACGTCAGAGAGGTTGGCCACAGGAACAGAGAGGTGACAGGAATGCCGAGTTAGGCTTCTTTGTATTGTGTGGACACGTCCGTAGAGCATATAGTTACACAAGCCCAGGCGGTGTCGCCGAGCACCTGGGCTGGATCTAGGGCCTCTGTCTTACACATAGGTGGTTCTTGGTGGTCTGAACCGTCCTAAACAGCATATGATTGTAATAGCTTGACCTTCCAGAACACTATAAGCATATATAACCAAACATGATACAACACAAATATATGTATTTAGTTGTTGTTTCTGGCACTGAGCTCTTAAAACCCTTGAATTTCCTGAGTGATAAGGGTGTTTGATTATTTATAATGAGCCCCTTTTGATCAAACTGAGGTTTATGCTAATGTGACTCAGGGTAGGATCCCCAATTAGCTTCAGGATGGTCCTGAGAGCTAGTCCCCGGAAAGATCCATCCAGAGGGTGGGAACTATCAAATCTGCACCATCACCAACTCAGAAAGGGGGGTGCTGGAGATTCTGAGAGTTTCTGGGTCAGTCAAGGCTGGGAGGTTGCTTCCCTGGAGAAGGCATGGAAGCTTCACATCCCCCATCCCTTCAAGCCCCATCACACCTTGCCCTACACTTCTCTTTATTTGACAGTTGAGTCATGTCCTTTATAATAAATGGGTCACAGTAAATAGAGCACTTTCCAAAATTCTGGAGAATTATCAAACTTGATGTGGGGGTCATGGTAACTCCAAACTTATAGTCATCCAGACATAAGTGAGAGTCACTTGGGCACCCCTTTGGTATCTGAAGTGGGGACAGTCTTGTGGGACTAAGCCCTTAATCTCTGAATTCTGCATGAACTTTGGAATTTAGTGTCAGAATTAAATGTAGTCACACAGTTGGTGCTGGAGAGTTGAGAATTGCCATGTAAAACATGTTTTTGGTGTCTGGGAGGGAAAAAAAAACATTTGGTGTGAGAAGTGGTGTCAGAAGGACACCACACCAAATATGCACATAAATCTCACCCCCCTTTTTCAAAAAATCAGATGGAAGAGTTCATGGACCTTGTTGTATGTTTGTTAACATATTTTGAAGATAGTTCCTTACGCAAACACCCCTTTTGACAGCTGTATAGTATTTCTCTTAATTGATGTAGCACAGTAACAAGTTCTTATTGTTTGCCATTGGTTTCCAGACTTTCACTATTCCAAACAGTACTATAGTCAGTGACTTTGTGAGAACATGATTACCCAAATAGAAAAGATACATGAATGAATTCCTAGAATTCCTTAACCAAAGGCCAACTAAGACTGTACTTTGATGACTTTTTCACTACTGTAGTCACTTTTATTTGTTCAAGGGCTCATATTAGAAATTAGAAATGTTAAACTGGGCCTCCCTGGTGGTGCAAGGGATTAAGCACTGCACTATGAAGCAATCCGCAGCCTCTGCAAAATGAGTTTGATCCCCGGCCGGCTAGGGAGAAGCCCACATGGGGAGGCAGACCTCTCCTGTCTTGCCCGCTACTCCCCTCAGCAGTGTATTTCGGTCAGTCTGCCTGTTTTGTTCCCCATTCTGTCTCTGGTGGATCCTCTCACTCTCCTGCATCTCTGGCACCCCAGCTCTTGTATGCATAGATAAATAAATAAATCTTAAAAAAAAAAAAGTGTTAAACCGAGTGTGGGGTTCGACTCTGTGAATCTAAATTTACACAGGAAGATAAAAACCGACTGGATGAAAACTACAGGCTCGTGGTTAGTCACAGTGCAGTTTTGAAATGTGTACAACCGAGGACAGTCTCAGGTCTTTTAGATCCTTGCAGATGTCCCAGAGGAATCAGCACTTTTCTGAGTTAAGCAACCTCATCGTCCTTCAGCCTTTGGTTGGTAACACTGGTTAATCCTCAAGCATTCGGGACACACAGAAGACTTCATTGTCAATGCCATACACCCCTTCACCATTGCTACCAGATGAACTCTGGATAGATTTTTGAACATGGATTCAGTGAGGTCAGCCACACTGACTCCAACAGTCCAGCTGATGTATCCTTTTAGCTTGATGGCTTCGTGGGCATCTTCAACCACCATTTTATGCACTTCCTGTTTTCACTATCATTGTCCACTTGATTTGTGGATTCAGTTCCTGGAAAGAAATGCCTGCTGTGGTCACCCCACTACACATGGCCACACTTGAGTCGCCATGGTCTCCTCAAACCCATCCATGGCAGCCACTGGGGTGAACACTGAGTTTTTCAGCTTTGAGGTAGCAAAATGCAGGAGAATCCAGATTATACCCACTTCCAGTCACATGCTGCTTGGGTTATCCACTCAGTTTCCAAGTGACGTGAATTGGAAAACCACCATCACACACCATCAGGTGGGTACTGAACAATCTGAGGAAAAGTTCATTTGAAGACACCGACATTCCCAGGCCCAGACCGAGGTACTTTCTGGACACTCTCTTGGGTAGTTGCTATCTTGATCTTAGAATGGGTGGCCATAAAGTTACCTTTACCTACCACAATTTTAAGTGTCTGAAGAAATATGCTGCTTCGGTCACCGCCGAGGTCAGTTTTGCCTTAAGGCGAACCACAGTGGGCGGGGAGGACAGTGAGCCACTGGAGGAGACAGCCAGCTGTGTCTCCTCCCATTTTGATGATTTTTTGCCAAAAGTGCTTGGATAGAAGCTATGCCCCCACTGCTCTGCCCCACCCCCAACAATGCATGTTTTCCAGATCACTCGCCAACCAGTGAGTGCCAGGTTGTTGATCTTTGCTGAACAGCCAAGTGGAAAAATGGTCTCTTTGTGAAGCTCTAATATGTTTTCTTTTGGGGACGCTCAAGTACTGTTTCAGAGGCTCAAAAGCTGTTTGTCTTCTCTAATGAACTTTCTTGTCTTTTTGCCCATCTCTCCATGGGTTTTGGTATCTGATGGACATTTTAGAGCTTTTTCTATAAATGAAAGACAGTAGCCCTCAGCAATGTCAACCATATGCATTTTCTTTACTTGATCATTTACTTGCATTTTCTTAATGAAATAAAATAAATTGTTCTGGGTTTTTGTGTCATAGTTAGAAGGGCCTTTTCCACACTGACATGACTAACAAGATCTGGCTGTATTTTTGTTTTTTTTTTCACACTTGAGTGAAATCTTGAGTTCATCTGGAATTTATTACACACCCAATTCCCTTCCATTTTCCTAGTGCCTATTTGGAAAATTCATCTTTTTACAACAGATCTGAAATGCAACTTTTATTATATACTAAATTCCTATATGCATTTGTATGTTACTAGATTTTCCTAACTCCCAGTGATCTCTGTGTCAGTACCCTCTTTAATTGCTATGGAGCTGGGTTTTAATATCTGCTAGAGTTAGTCTCCGCTCTTTGTTCATTTATCATTATCACCTCCAGATCCATCCACATGGTCCCACAGTTTTTTCTTTTCAAAAAGCTCATGGCTATTCTTGCTTATTTAGTTTTTCATATGAAATTCAGTTTTTCCAGCCCCTCTCTTCTACCCCCCCAAAAAAAGCCCTTGTTAGATTTTTTTTTCAGTTTTATGATGATATAGTTGACATACAGCTCTATATAAATTTAAGGTGCCCTGCGTAATGACTTGTCACAGATCTACACACACCCCTCAGTGATATTACAGCCTCTGTTCCAGACTGCCACATGACAGCCAGTGTTGCAAAAGAGTGAGTCACAGGAATTTTTTGGCTTCCTGGCACATATAAAAGTTAAGTTTATATTGCACCGAATTCTACTAAGTGCAATAGTATTCTGTCTACTTATATATCTTCATTAAATGTACATACCTTCATAAAAATATGTAATTGCAAAAATTGCATATGATAATTGCAACCATGGTTAGAGCCTTCAGTGAGTCATAATCTTTTTCCTGGTGGATGTTCTCGTAAAAACACATTATCTTCGTTGGGCCTCCCCGGTGGCGCAGCAGTTGAGCGCTGGGTTGCGAAGCTGCCCGCGGCGCCAGTTCGATCCCCGGCTGCTCCCCGGCCACTGGAGGAGGGTCCCACATGGTGCGCAGAACTCTCCTGCCGCCCGCTGCTCCCCTCAGCAGTGTACTTGGTCAGTCTGCCTGTTCTGTTCTCCGCTCTGGCTCTGGTGAATTCTCTCACCCTCCCGCACTTCTGACTGTACCCAGTGCTTGTATAAATAAATAAATAAATCTTTAAAAAAAAAAAAAAAAAAACACATTATCTTCGAGGCCCAAGAAAGTGAAGTGAGGGCCTCCCCGGTGGCGCAGCGGTTGAGCACTGGGTTGAGAAGCTGCCCATAGCCTCTGCAGCGCCGGTTCGATCCCCTGCTGCTCCCCAGCCACCGGAGGAGGGTCCCACATGGCGCGCAGACCTCTCCTGCCGCCCGCTGCTCCCCTTAGCAGTGTACCTCGGTCCTTCTGCCTGCTCTGCTCCCCGCTCTGGCTCTGGTGAATTCTCTCACCCATCCGCACTTCTGACTGTACCCAGTGTTTGTATAAATCAATCAATCAATCAATCAATCTTTAAAAAAAAAAAGAAAGTGAAGTGAAGTAAAAGAAGGGGTGCCAAGTGTTGTGAAATGATTACCACAGTCAATTTGGTTAACTTTTTTTAAAAAAAGATTTATTTTATTTATGTATACAAGAACAGG